ATGACTTTAGAAACGATTCGAAATCAGCTTTGGTCAGATCTATTTGTCAAGACCTACGATGACTGAATCAGATGGGACGGTATCCCCGATGTTTCCGAACGAAGCCCGCCTTCGTAACTTAACGTCCGTCCCTCCCCCAACCTTCCATCTCCTCCAACCTTTAAAAAAAAAAAAACAGCAGAAGCTCTGATAATTTGGTTTTTGTCAATTTTTTCTTGTATTTTCACTGTAGTTACTCTTCACCACTGTATGTGGATATGAGCAAATCGAACAAACTAGCCACCGGCGAGTTTGACGAAGAGACGGGAGAACCGATTTACATCGCCGATGATGTAGACAACGATGAAAAAAATTCGACTCAGATTTATATTGGTAAAGTTCGTGTTCCCCCTCCAGGATTTTAGCAATTTTATATATGAGAGAGAGTGTCTTATGTCGATTCCTTCTCTCTCGCTTTTTTTTTTATTTCGAATATGATATATATATATAGGTGCCTATCATGTTGCGGTCCGAGTTTTGTATCCTCGATAAACTGGAAGATCCTGGTTTGTATGAGTTAAATGAATGTCCATTCGACCAAGTTAGTCTTATCGGTTATCCACCTCTGTATTAATCTGATCTCGAACCCCACAAAACTCATCCAAATGGTTCTTGAATAATTTCACAAAACACTAGGGTGGTTATTTCGTCATTAATGGATCGGAGAAAGTGTTGATTGCCCAAGAAAGAATGGCAGCCAATCATGTCTATGTGTTCGCCAAAGCGGGCCCCCTCGCCGGTCTCTTTCCTGAGTGAAATACGCAGTCAGTGGAGAAAGGTAGCAAGACGGTGAGCTCGATGCAAGTGAAGATGTACGGAGGTCACAAGGCCGAAAAAGCGGTCAGTCTTTGCCATGATCTTTGTGTTATAGAATTTTTCACCATCAACTTATCTTTGTTTAATTTGTTAGGGGGGAGGTGCAACGATCAAAACCACTCTTCCTTATATCAGAAACGATATCCCGATCGTCGTCGTCTTTAGGGCTCTAGGAATCATCCCCGATAAGGATATCTTGGAACATATCTGTTACGATCGTAATGATACAGCGATGTTTGAGATGCTCAAACCGTGTTTAGAAGATTCATTCCCGATCCAAGAGCAAGAAGTGAGATTCCTTCCTTCCCTTTTTTGTCTTTTTCGAGTTGTCTGTCTTCTCACTTTCCGTCCTATTTCTTTCTCTGACAATTGTATTGGAATGATCAACTAGGTGGCGCTAGATTTCATAGGAAGGAGAGGAACAGCGACCGGGTTATCAAGAGAAAAGCGGCTGAAATATGCCGAAGAGATCTTACAGAAGGAGATGTTACCACATATCTCGATGTCAGAAGGACAACAAGGAAAGAAGGCATATTTCTTTGGATACATGATTCATCGACTCTTGTTAGCTGCATTAGATCGAAGAGACTTGGACGATCGAGATCATTTCGGTAAAAAGCGTCTCGATCTTGCTGGCCCCCTTCTGGCTGGTCTCTTTCGAATGTTGTTTCGTAAACTGACTAAGGATGTCTATCGACATCTACAAAAGGTTTGTTTAATTGCATTTTTTCTTAAATACAACAGTGTTGATCTTCTTCTTATATCTATTTTTTGCAGTGTGTCGAGATGCAAAAACCGTTCAATCTGAATGCAGCTGTCAAGTCGAATACGATTACGAATGGACTGAAGTATTCCTTGGCGACAGGGAATTGGGGGGACCAGAAGAAGGCGATGCAAGCTCGTGCAGGGGTTTCACAAGTCTTGAATCGCTATACATTTGCATCCACCTTATCGCATCTTAGACGATGCAACACGCCGATCGGCCGAGACGGGAAGATAGCCAAGCCTCGACAACTGCATAACTCCCATTGGGGCATGGTCTGTCCTGCCGAAACACCAGAAGGTCAAGCTTGTGGATTGGTCAAGAATCTCGCATTGATGTCTTACATCTCTGTCGGCTCACCATCCGCGCCGATTGTCGAGTTCTTGGAGGAATGGGGGATGGAAAGTCTGGACGAGTTTTCATCTGACATGTCTAATGGCACCAAGGTCTTCGTCAACGGGGTATGGCAGGGAGTCCATCGTGCACCAGCCGAGCTTCTCGATACCATCAAACGTCTACGACGGTGTGGAGATATCGAGCCGGAGGTATCAGTGATGAGGGACGTACGAGAACGAGAGCTGCGGGTGTTCACCGATGGGGGTCGGGTCTGTCGGCCGTTATTTATCGTGGAAAACCAACAGTTACTGTTGAAGAAGGAGCACATCGAATGGCTGAGTAACGGATGTGAGACGGCGGAAGAAGATCAAGATGCGGGGGAGGAAGCAGCGGATGATGGAGTTCCATTTGGGTGGAGCCAATTAGTCGCCAGAGGGATCGTCGAATATCTGGATGCTGAGGAGGAGGAAACGGTGATGATCTGTATGACCCCTGAAGAGTTGGAACAGTCGAGAGAATATCAAGAGACGGGTCAGGTCCCTAAGGAAAATTACGACCCCGCCGCGCGTCTCAAGGGTAATACTAGCATGTATTCTCATACTTGGACTCACTGCGAAATCCATCCGGCTATGATCTTGGGCATCTGTGCTTCGATCATTCCCTTTCCTGACCATAATCAAGTTGGGTATCATCTCACTAGGGGGTCAAGTTTTTTCTTAGTATTCTAATCTGCTATCTCCCTTCTTCTTGTAGTCTCCTCGAAACACATACCAATCAGCCATGGGAAAACAAGCGATGGGCGTCTATCTAACGAACTTTAGGACGAGGATGGACACGATGGCGAACATATTGTATTATCCACAAAAGCCACTAGCGACGACACGTTCGATGGAGTATCTCAGGTTCCGAGAATTGCCGGCGGGCCAGAATGCGATTGTGGCGATCCTGTGTTATTCGGGATACAACCAAGAAGATTCGGTGATCATGAACCAATCGTCGATCGATCGTGGCCTCTTCAGGTCGTTCTACTACCGATCATACATGGATCAGGAGAAGAGGGCGGGTGCACTTCAGATGGAAGAGTTTGAGAAGCCGACTCGAGACAGTACGCTGCGATTAAAGCATGGGACGTATGATAAGCTGGATGATGATGGGATCATTACTCCGGGAACACGAGTCTCAGGGGACGACATCATCATCGGGAAGACGGCGCCGATTCCGAAGGATAGTGAAGAGCTGGGACAACGGATGAAGACGCACACGAAGCGAGACGTGTCGATGCCGTTGAAGTCGACGGAGAACGGGATCATCGACCAAGTCCTGGTGACGACGAACCAGGACGGCCTGAAGTTTGTGAAGGTCCGGATCCGCTCGACCCGGATCCCGGAGACCGGCGACAAGTTTGCATCCCGCCATGGACAGAAGGGCACCGTCGGGATCCTCTATCGGCAGGAAGACATGCCCTTCACCTCGGAAGGCGTGTGTCCAGATATCATCATTAACCCTCATGCTATCCCCTCTCGAATGACGATCGGCCATCTGGTCGAATGTCTCTTGAGCAAAGTCTCCACAATCACCGGGAACGAAGGCGATGCGACCCCGTTTAGCGAAGTGACCGTCGAGGCGATCTCCGCCTTGCTCAAAGATAAGGGCTACCAATCCCGTGGATTGGAGATCATGTTCAACGGCCATACCGGAAAGAAACTCCGGGCTCAATGCTATCTCGGGCCCACTTATTATCAACGGCTCAAACACATGGTCAATGATAAGATCCATTCCAGAGCTAGAGGACCCGTCCAGATCTTGACTAGACAACCTGTCGAAGGACGGTCTAGAGACGGGGGACTCCGGTTCGGAGAGATGGAAGTTTAGTCCAAATTCTCCTCCTCTTTCTTTTTTTTTTGCTTTTTTTTCTTTTTTATCACTGATGAATCCCTCTCGGATGGCTCATTTAGAGAGATTGTATGATCTCCCACGGGATCGCAGGGTTTTTGAAAGAGAGAATGTTCGATGTTAGTGATGCATATCGAGTGCATGTCTGTGACTTGTAAGTCTTCTCTCTCTTTTTTTTTGGGGGGGGGGTGGATTGGAAGGTTGATCGGTCTTGTTTTCTTTTTTTTTTTTTTGGGTGGCGGGATTCGTAGTTGTGGGATGGTGGCGATCGCGAATCTGAAGAAACAGTCGTTCGAGTGTCGGTCTTGTCGGAATAAAACGGCCAGTTAAGTCCCCCCCCACTCAATTTACTGTTAAAGCACTCTCTAACTGAATGATATCTGGGGGGTTTTTCATTCTTAGTTTCGCAAGTCTATATTCCTTATGCTGCCAAACTGCTTTTCCAGGAACTTCAGTCTATGAATATCGCCAGTCGGTACGTTTATCTCTCTTTTTTTTGGTCGCAATTGTACTCATTTGAGGGTCTGGTTTTTGGTGGGATGGGTTGCTTTTTTTTCTAGGTTTGTTTTTGAGAGTGCTGGGGAACATGTTTCGAGAGGTGATATGATTATGTAATTTAAGGTTTTTTGTTTTTTTAATGTTTTGTTTTGTTTTTGTTTTCAATAAATATACTCTTTTGTTCATGTTTTTGTCATATACTTTGAAGAGAGTGAAGAAAGAGAGAGAGAGAGAAAAAAGGAGTGATCCGGTGTTAATTTGCTGAGTTGCGTTGATGGGATTGTGTGGAGTGAGGATGGCCATTTTCCAGGGAAGAACCAACCAAGAAGAAGAAGAAGAAAGATGGTCAACAGCAGACTGGGCAGCATTGGAACACTCCGGCCATTCTCGACCAAGAAGAGACTCATCCCATCCTTCCTCCCATCCAACCGCACACTCGAATTCAGACTCAACAACAACAACAACAACAACAACCATCTCAAACAAAACAAACACAAACAACCATCCACCATCCTCAGATTCAACCAGCAAAACTCGACCATCAAGCCGCCCCCCGATCCGATAGAGTCCATCAGAGATAACATCGATAAACCCTTCCTGGCCTCCAGGAACTCGCTGCCTAGAAGAGACGACCTTTCGGCGATCAGATCCATCCTCATCGATCGCAATGGTCCGTCGTCTACACTTTTCCTCTCTCTCTTTTTTTTTGGTTTACTCTCTTCTTTCGACATTCTTCTGACATCTTCATTCGAATTTTGCTTGTAATTTGGTAGCCCGCATCCTGTCCTCTCGCGCTCTCTCCAAAAGCGAGATCTGCGCCCAAAATCGATTGCAGGTAAAGCTGCATCCCTCCTCCTGTTCCTCTTCAAACCCCGCAAACAAATTGACAGAGTGTTTTTTTGTGGTGTGGTCATACTTGCATAGCCTCGAGATCTGCGCAAGATCGATTCGCGCATCTCGAATGTCGTGCCGTCGATCCTTGTCAGAGACGAAGCGATCATCGTAAGCACTCCCTCGCCAATCCCGAACTCTTCTTAAAAGAAAGAATGATTGATGGGTTTGTTTCATGAAAAAAAAATGAGTAGTTTAATGTTCTGAATATCCGGGCCTTGATTCGAGCGGATTCGATCCTTATCTTCGAAGACCCAAGTTCTCCGTCCCTATCGCACAACCATACCTCTTCTCCTTCTACGACTTCTTCTTCTTCGACTGCAACTTCGAGCGAGAAATCGACGTCTGTGAACGAGAAAGCTTCTCCGGAATCATCAGCGACCACTCGATATTCGATCCGCTCGGCTTTCTTGCACAACTTGCTCAACAACCTCGTCGACCATCATAATCCCAATCAAGCCGAAAACAGTCATGAGCAACCCAATCAATGCTCGCCAAAATCCACCGAACTTCCTTACGAATTTCGGTCAGTTTCCCCCAGTTTGTCTGTCTTGTATGAATGGAAGTTGATGTGGTTGATTTGTGATTTGGGGGATAATCAATACCAAAGGGCTTTGGAGACCATGTTGGGATCAGTAGCTACGACGTTGGAGAGCGAATTAGGAGTCCTGAAGACTCTCGTATCCAGTCTTTTAGATGGCTTGGAACAAAACATCGGTCCGTCTATCTCTCTCTCTCTTTCTTTTTTTCTTCTTCTTTTTATCAATTGAATTGATCTGATTGTTTTGAAACGGGACGGGATATAGAGAGAGAAAAGTTGAAACAGTTGTTGCTCTATTCTCGCCGCTTATCCGCGTTCAATAGTCGGGCATTATTGGTCCAAAGATGTTTGGACGAAATCCTCGAAAACGGTCTGTCCTCTTTCCTTTTTCATCCTTCCTCTACTCTTCTCTATTCACTTGTTCATCACCAAAAAAAAAAAAATTGATGTTCGGTGAGATTCTTTTTTTTTTTCGTCAAAATAGAACAGGATATGGCAAATGCTTATCTAAGCGAAAAGATCTTGAATAAAAGTCCCAGACAAGTTCATGATCATGAAGAGTTTGAACAGCTCTTGGAGTCGTTTTCGAAGTATGTCGAGGAGATCGTTCATGAGGTAACAAATACACTCCTTACATCATCTACTTCTTGATTGACTGACCTCCTCAATCTCATAACTCTTCTCTTCTTTTTTTTTTGTGTGTGTGTGTAGGGCACATCGACATTAGTAAGTCAACCAAGGTTTTTCTTCTTGTTCCCATTTGACGGTGTCAAGACAACAAACTCACAAGACACACACACGCCACTTTTAAATGATTGTTTCTTGACGTTGGATCGATAATCCGAAATTTGGAATATACAAAAAAAACATAAACAAAATAGACGAATATTAAGAGTACGGAGGAGATCATCGATTTGATTCTCGATTCCAATCGCAATACCTTGTTGGCGTTGGATTTGAAGGTGTCGATCGGGACGATGGGGTTAGCAGTCGGAGCATTAACAGCCGGTATGTGCCTTCCCATCTGTCCACAATTCCAAGCTGTCATCTTCTCACCCAATCTGACCGCTCCCTTCCCCCACAAACCCAAAAACATGATGATGATGATGAGAACAGGCCTATTTGGGATGAATTTACGGACACATATGGAGGCGGATCCGTATGCGTTTTATGTGGTGACCGGCCTGACCTTAGTTGGGGTGATGAGCACGATCGGGTATGGATGTCGACGGCTGTACCGGCTCCGGCGGGTCGGCCTGAGCTCGGTCACTAGTCCTTCTTCCTCTGCTATCGCCGCCGCTGGTTGTAGTCGGAGGATCATCTCCACCGGGTCCGCCGCTAAAAACGGCGGGATCCTCGATTGGGACGTCCCTCGTCATCCTTCGCATTCTCACTCTAACTCCTCTTCTCATTGAATCTTCCCCCCCCCCCTGGTATAACCTTTCCTTGTCTCGTGTACATACACTCTCTCTTCACTCCATGTCCCTTCTAGGGCCATCCACTACTCTCAGCGCTTCTTGATCTTCTTAAATCTTTAATTTCATCTCTCTCTTTCTCAACTCACTTCGTATTTGGAATCTTCTTTTTCATTCTTTCTCTCTTTTTGTGGGTGATGGGTTTTTTACGGAGGGGCAGGCCGGAGATGATGGGTGTTGTTTTGTTAGACGGATGATTTATGTCGGCATTTATTTATGTAGTCGTATGATCAGATCATCAGTCTCATCCCCTTAACGTCCTATAGATACTCGTGGATACTCCGGATCCAAATGATCTCTGATACAACATACACACTTTTGGTTGAGTGTTTATCGATTCAATCTTCTTCCATCATTATCATCATCTTTTTTTTTTTTGGGGGGGGGGGGGGGCAGGGCGGTATCTAATTCTACTTTTTTCAATCAGTTTTTTGTGTATCAACTCACATAGGTTTTTACATCTATACATACTTTTTTTCAAAACATATAATTAGATTCCTTTTTTTTTGTTCTTTGGATTTGAAAAGTATGTCTAGTCTACCTATGATAAAGATACGTAGATGACCACAGAATCAAGTATCTCCAGTCGAGTCAATGATCTTGGATTGATCGGATCAGTGAGCGATTCTTCAGCTACATAACATTTTAGCTGAAGATCAATGGCTCACCGATCCAATAATTAAAACCCATTCCCCTCCAATAATTTCAAGAGAGAGTCAAGCCCAATGGCTGATGGTTTGATTGCTCTGGATGACTGAAGTATATGGTCTGTAACTTGGGTCAGTTGGTGTTTGTTGCTTCCTCTTCAGAACTTGCTTCATGTGGGACTCCATGGACTCTGGATAAGTCATAGAGTATCAAATGTGACTCATCATTGAATCCTTTAAGAACACCCAAATTAGATACATCAAGATAGCCATTGAAATGATACATTACTTCGAATTGATTGATATGCGCAAATGAAGAAAACAAATCAAAAACATGAGATCAATGATGAGGATTATGAATACAGATGTTGGCACCTTTTTCAACTATCAAAACAAAAAAACAAGAAAAATGATGGATCTCATCTGAAAACCATATTGTCTCTTTGGATTGTGCAAATTTTTGGGTCTGATTTGACCAGAATTATTCACAAGAATCCCAGAAAAAAAACAAGAAGGTTGTTTTAGGGAAGTTGCATAAGGATATTCGACCGGCTTTTGTGGGTCAATAAGGGACTGAGACTGATCGAAGAAAAGACTCGAATTCCATTCCGCTTGAGACCAGAACCTGCCCAACCCAAATTCTAATGAACAAAGAAAAAAAAAATGAAGAGCTTGGATCAAAAGAAGGGTATTGGTGATGGGGCAAATGAAGATGAAGGTTGATCAATGAAAGAAGGGAGCGAAGCGCAGGAAGATTTCCTCGGCCTGCCACCCGAGCAAGATGGGCAACACATCGAGGATCCCAAAGTCGGGCCAAAACTTGGGCACGAAATGGACCGAGGGACCTTTGGTGGTATTCCGGACCCGAGCCACTCCCATGCCTTCCTCCCTTTTATGCTGCTCTGGCTCGATTGGAGAGATCAGATTCTCCGTCGGATCTGCTGCTGTCGTCGTCGACGACGGTTCGTATTCGCTCGAGTTGAGCGTCGTTTGCCACAGTAGAAAATCCGAGAGGCGCGAGACCCCCGAGGTCCGGATCAGGATGTCTAGTGGAGGACTGTGTGAGGTGTACAGGTTCTTGTCGATCGTGTCGATATCTATTAACCTTTTTTTTTTTTTTGAACAGAATAAAAAAGGTTAACACTGAGTTGCAATCGATTTCCTAGGGAGTGTGGCGCCTACGAGGTGGGCGTTTGGTCGCTGATCGAATCTTGCGCTGTCTTGTAAATCGCACTCGCCATTTCTTCTTGTGATGAATAGGGGAAGGCGACATTCAAACATCCCCTTTATTGCAAAAAAGGTGCGCGATCCCATGAGCAAAAAAAAAAAAACGTGATAGGAAAACAAAGGACGGACGAATAAGAGGGGGACGGACACCTTACCTTTTATTATTGATCGTCATTTCTTCTACCTTACAAACTGACTCCTTGATGTCTGGAGGTAACAGATCTTTCCGTCCAATAACGACGACTCGGATACCATATCGATCTAACAACTGTCTAAAGCTTAACACATTTTAGTCTTTTGTGATGATATATCAAACCAAAGAACAAAATAAAATAAAACTTTGAGGGTACCCTTTTTCGCATATTTGGACGAGTTTAGTCCGTGCTAAATCCATTAATTTGTTGACTTCTTCCGCCGATCTTTTGAAATTTCCGATCGCAAATGCATACACTGTTACGTTGGGCACTTCCAATCTCAGCAATAATTCTAAGATCTGAATCCCGCCCCCAAATAAATAACAAAACGAAGAAAGATTCAGTGGATTTGAATGTTGAGATGAAAGAAACGATACCAGAAAAAAACAAAAAAAACGACTGACTCTTTTCAAAGCCTCGAATCCCGCACGATGGCCGTCCTCAACAGGCAGTCCGACCGACCGACTGAACCTGCGATTGCCATCCATGATAAAGCCCACATGATTGGGCAACGGGCCCAGCTGCAGAGTCCTGATCAGAAGGATTCGCAAAGAGGGGTACAGAAATGGCGGGATGAGTTTCGAGAGGATCGAGAGGATCGAGCTGGTCGTCGTCGGCAACTTGATTCTCATCTTGTTCTTTTTTTTTCTTTTTTCGTCCTGTTTTTCAATAAGTCGATGCTTCTTTCTTTCTTTCTTGTCTCCTCAGGATTGTGTGTGTTGGTTTGAATGTGTTTGTTTGATGGTTCCTCGAAGCGTTTCCAGGTAAAAGGCCTTCAACTACATAAACTCGTAAATTGGATGTAAATTGTTTGATGTCGATCGGTGTTAAGGTTAAGTTTGTCCAAAAATCGGGGTGACACCACTCAGATCTGTGACAGCTACCCTGTCACAGCCTCTCTCCACCTATGTACGGCTAATCAACACCTGCGCGTCACAAGTCTTCAGTAGAAGCTACAACGGGGGTGGTGGTGCGCACCCCAAGCGGCCAGGATCAAGGGGCGACACGCCTGGTTTCTCGAGTCGGTCTGCTAGCACGGATCAACCTGTTCAATCAACAAAGATTCTTGTGGGAGCTCAAGGACCACTTTATTTAGCCTTTGAATGCAAACTTATTCTCTCGAATGTCTGGCCCCTGAAGGAAGCCTGAAGGCATATTCAGCACAACAGAGCGCACTCCTGGGTGCTTGGTTTGAGTGTGTATTATTTTGAGTCAAACTTGAAGCAAATCAGCCATGTTATAGGTGTAATCAAGGTCTGAAGAAGTGGAAAAATTATGGCAAAACTTTATATCACTGGATGACTTCCTGTCGTGGTTTACAACCCTCCCAGAATTCAATTTACAACCCCTAGATCTTAATTTTTGGTAAAAAAATGTTTTTTTCACAAGCCTTGTGAAGAAGATAGCTCTCATTTGAGCTGGTTAGAATTATGATTGGGCTGTTAATTTGGGACTGGGGAGGGCTCAAAAAGTACTCTAAATGGTAACAGGAAGTCCTCCACTAACTCAGGCTTTTTTCTTCCTTCTTTCTTGATCAAATTTTTCTGTCTATTTTCCAAACCACCATCAGTTACCTTTCATCTTCCATATCATCTAATTTGTTACACTTGTATGTACCTCATTATCTCACTGTGCTATCCTGGTATTCAATTGTTTACAGTCCCAGCACTCTAGTCTTCATACAGACACTATTAGCTCTCACTGTGTGCAAAAAAAATCATGTTATGTAATCAGGTTGCTGTCCTGATGACAAAACATGACCTTTAATCTTCAGTTACTGTGCCTCTGCCTGAGGATTGAATGTCATGTTTAGTAAACAGGACCACACAACCTGATTCCATAACATGAATTGTTTTGGCATGCAGTGTCTGAGATTGCTGATAACAACCAATTTTATTCTGAAGAAATTATGGGAAGAATGATTGCTGTGGAAGCTTACTCTGAAAATGTGGAAGGTCCCAAGGAATCTTCCTCCTCAAAATCCCCAAATCAAGGAAGATCTCTAAGTTTTTTCAATCTCAAATGCCACCTTCCTCTTTCTGTGTCTTCAAATCACTCCAACTTGTTGCCCACAATTTCAAAGGAGCCTATGTTTCCATGATTCACTATCTGATTTGGAAGTACATATCAAGAGACTGGAAGACGTGGTAAAACTTGATGGTCAATCACCAGTCTTTTTGATCTGAGGGTTTCAACAACATGGCTTGGAAACAGTCTTACTATTGAATCTTTGAGAGAAGGGTAAATAATCCTGAAACTAGTTCCTCTAGATGTCTAAAATTCATAACAGATACATTGAGGCTGCACCCTTTAATTTGATCAAGTGGCTCTCAACCAAATCCAATTCGAAATAGACTTGAAACACAGACTGGTTGTGATTTGTAGGTTCACCAATGCCATTATACTTGAAAGCAACGCTGCAACAAATACGGTATTCACAATTTATTGGCATGTATCTTTTCATGTATCATGGTCTTGATGTGATTTATTTCATGATCAATGTGCTTCTATTGAGAGTCTTATTTGTTTAATCTGGCTCTTAGCCATATGTGTTGGCACAATTCCTTGTGATACAAACTGTGTATTGTCTTTGTTGCAGCATTGTTGAAAGTGGGGTGTTGGTAAACAAATTTTGAATCATGAGTGTTTTTCCCCCTGAAAATTATCAACTGATACTGCTACACTACCAATTGGGAATCCAGGGAAATCTGAAGTCAGCAAACCTTTTCAAAATCAGAAGCAAAATTAGCAGTTGAATGGAATGTCCTACTGTGGATGTTTTTGCTGATGCAAGTCCGCCACATTTTAAACCTTGAAACATTTGGTTGCAAATTCAAAGGTTTGATTTGAACAATGATTCAATATGATGTTCAAGATTCTGAATCAGGGAATAAGGATTTTCCCAAATAACACAATAAATCAGCCTGTTCACAACTAATCTATCCCTGCCCTTTCTCTGCAGACAGAGTCCACCAGTTTCCTATGGCTTTGAGATACACAAGATTCATAAGAAAATTCTCTAAACCTTGGTGAAACGCACTGGGACTTTACTTTGGATCACAGAATTATCTGCTGAACATGAATTTTCCAAACAAATAATTCTCAACAGCCATTTAGCATTACCATCCAATGGCTCAGACCAGTACATAGTGCTGTGGTATCAGAAGCACTGAAACACCATTGTACTGAGAAAAAGCTCTCTTGGTGGCTTTTTCCAATACACAGCACTGTATTTCAGCATAAAACTGACTTTTCCCAGCACAAAGGTGTGGTGTTAGGGTACCATTCATAGTGCTACCACTAGTTCAGCTTTCCCAGAATTGATGCAGCTGTATTTTGATTATTTGAAGATTCAGAATACTAATACATGGTCTTTTCATTAATGTTAGAGTCACTGGCAATGGTGAGTAAAATGTTTTTAAAAGGTTCAAATGAATTGATGAACAGAAATTGGAAGTGAGAAGAAGCAGGCATGTTGTGATGGCGAACAAATGTGATTATAATATCACCACTCCTCCAACAACAGCCTCATCTAATGTCTTGACTTTGGGAACTTTGGGATTGACACCTGAACTTTTCTCAGTTTTTTGGGTTGTAAAACAAATTTACTTCTAAGCACAAGTTAAACTCTGTAATTGTGATATCTTGTTGTGTTTATTTGGGAAGATTAAGATCTGGAGTAGGCCAGTGATACTGCAAAATGTTTCTCTCCTTTTTTCATATCATAGATGTGAATTTTTTATGATCTGCTAAATCAGACCACTTTAGAAATGGTCACCAAAAAGTGGAAAGAACTGAAGTGATTAGCAATACTATGCAGGACAATATTATCCTATGAAGAAATTCTGGTTGAAGATCACTATTGTATTTTTCTACCCACAGTGACTGGTCAACAGTTTCACCAATAATTATCTATGGGCTGTGCCAAATACTATATGTCAGTCACTGTGTATGTTATAGCTCAATAACTTGGAGGTGCATTGTTTTCTGTTCTAAGTGGCTCTACAAGGACTAATCGTGGCCTGATTTGCCCAGATGTAAATTTGAACCAAGATAAAACTTAACCATATTGAGGAAATCGTCCACGGGTGTTGCAGATGTTACCGGGTTAATGTGTAAATAAATTTTTGATAAAGATTGGTTCCTCCAACAGATCTAGCTTAATTACCCAAGCCCAATTAAATGAAGACATGTGCCGCTCCTGGTTCCCTGGCTGGCACAAAGCCCCCTCGCGAACCCCATTTCAGAGGCCTACTTTGCCGCTACTTGCTCACTGGCCTCTGGCCCCTGAAACAGGAAGGAAATTCATCGGTCAATCTGAATAATGACCTCCGGGGAAACGGGGGATGTCTGACTTTTGGGATTGTCTGACCGACGTTGCGCAGGGTCGCTTCACCTGAACATTTCGCAAGTCGCATTTGTTCACATCTCCAAGCAAAACCAGAAAATGCGATGCAGGAATTTCATTCTGCAATCATCCACAGTTTGGAACCTATTGACCGGCATCACGTTTTTGCGTATATCTAGCAGCATGGCTATGTCACACGAAACCATATCTCACATATCTCAAGTTCCGGGTGACGTAGATGATCAAGTACCTTACGACTGGAATTTCATGGATCACTTGACCTCTTGGCCGGTCATGGATTCAATCCCACAGTCAACTGAGCAAAGTCGTTCTTCTTGGCAGGGTAGCTCACCGTTAGCTTTCTCCAATACTCACCATCAGCTATCTGCCAATCCAGAAGCACCCCAGGTATGGCCAAGTGTGTTGATTCAGTCACAAGACCTTTTTGTACCTTCAATATCTTTGGATGACAAACATGACCATGGTCCTTGGAGCAATCTATACTGGCCTGAAAGCAAGAGACCTGAGCCAAAAGTCATGGAAGCAATCAACCAAGAGGTAAGTTAGATACAATTCTTGAAAGTAGGCCAGCCCAGCTGATTCACAGAAATTTATAACCAGATTGTTGAAAGTGGAAAGAGAAACATACCCTTGTCAAAAAGATTACTAAAATCTAATATTGAATTGAATCTTAACAAAATTCATATGACCTCAGCATGTGGACTTGAAACTGATTTGCATCTGTCAAAATTAACAAATATGAATGTTCAAGATAGAATTATTTCCCATCAAAAGGGTAAATCAAAAATGGAAGAGGACAACACAATTGATAAACCTTCTCACAAAGATAAAAGTGAACATATTGATTCAGTTTTCTGCAACAGGAAATCTGACCTAAAATTGAATACAGTAAAAAGGGGAAATGGTCACGGTAAACTTAGTCCAGTGAATTTAAGTGAATCAATTTTGGAATCAAAAAGCAAAATGGAAAACATTTCAATCTTTGATCAAGCCAGAGCTTCAGGTGACCAAAGTATGGGAAATTTCCAAAATTATTGTAATGCTCCAGCTCAGGAGAATAACCTTTTGACATTGAGTCAAATTTCATCCAAGGCATCTGAGATACCCTTCCAAAACACGATATATCAATCTATATTCAACGGCAAGCAATCAGATGTCAAAAAAGGCCTCAATATGCAAGAAAATAAACCTCCCAAAGATGGAAATCCCAATGAAAAAATAAAAAATGTTTCACCAAAAAGATCAAAAAAGGGAGAGCAAAGACAAAGCTTGGCAACCCCTTGTCTTGAGACTGAGCCAGAGAAAAATGGAATTGAAGAGACAAATTTAACACAAGATTATTATTTCTCAGGTAGAAACAGCAGAACTATACCAAATACTCTGTTGAGAAAAACCAGTGAGCAGAAATCTGTGAAGGGAAATCATTTGGTTTCAAAAGAAGACCTCACTCCTGCAGACAGGAAAGCAGCATTACTAGCAAAGGGAAAATGGAAGGCCCAGGATGCTACATTTGGAAAGAAGAACAGATACTCAAAAGCCAATCAATCTCATGTAGAATTAAATATGGCCAAAGAGATCCCACAGAATTCCAAGCCAAATGTAGGCATTTTGCCTAATCAGAAGGAACAACCCTCAGAGTTGAATATTGGAGCCCCATTCCAGAAATCAGAAAGGGAAGGAATCCAGACTGGACTCAATAACATTTACCAGAAACAAGAGATTGAAAGCAATGGTAAAGACATATTGAAATCAACAACTCTAGGAATACTAAATCCAGAGACATTTCATCAAGAAGATGGGCAAGAGAAAAGACTGAAAAATTTGAGTGATCTATCAACTCCCATTCCTGACTCTTCTAGTCGTAAATTCATGCATGAAAAAGAACACATCATTAATATGAACCATCCATTGGAAAAAAATGAGAAAAATTTACAAATTAATGGATTCCCTTCAACAGTAGATACCTCTCAAGAGGTAACCCACAATACAAATCTAAGGGTTATCTCATCACTTAATCAGAAGGTCGAACGCTCTAATTCAAACATTGGCTCCCCATTCCATAAAGAAACCAGTAAAGCTTCCCAGAATAAAGTGGGAAAAAACTTCAAAATAGAGGAAATTCAAAAAATGACTAGAGAGTCTGATTCTCTGTGCTTCACTGGATCAGAAGGAAATGGCAATTCACCAAGTGAAAAAGGAGGCAGATCAAAAAACTTGAAAGCATCTGAATGTGTCCCAGCCCCTCATTCTGAATATTCTCAAGATATTATAATTACAAGTGAAGAACAAAATATACTTGATATGATCCACATGAGAAAGCCACCAGAAAAAATGAAGCTAATATGCAATGCTCCAATGAGGTTCAAGGAAGAATATGATACTCAAGCCCATCATTTAAGTTCTGAATTCAAAAAATCCAAGGAAGCTTTCAAAATGAAAAATTCAACAATTAATCCTTTTCAAGTTGAAACAAATCTAAGGAAGAAGATGGAAGAGAAGGTTCAGAAATTGATGATCATTCCATATAAAAACATTCAATTCAAAGCAAAAAGCTTGAGGGACTATTCAGAATCAACAATCAATACATTCTTTAGAATGTGGGGTGAGGAGAATGTTCTCTCTTGGGAAAGAAAGCGTTTGGACCTAGCATTGATGTCCCAGTTGGCTCTGGTTCTCAACTTGGAAGACAAAACACCCCATGCTGGAATCAGACCAATATTCCAAGGAACAAACCTTTATAAAAGATTTCTGGACATGCATAAGAAAAACAAATTAAATATAGTTATTGATGTGATATACAAGATACTTGGGAAAGAAGAAGCAACACGCAGGTTAGAAACTTTTTGCCAATATTTGCACAGACAAGTTATTGCATGGAATTGGATCAGGATGAAGAATATCTGGGTCATGGTGGGCATCCAAAAATTCTTGAGAATATTTCATTTTGAGAAAGTTTTTGGTGTTTCAGAAGATCCAAAATCTGTTATTGATATCCCCACCCTTCCATTGGTCAAGTTTCTTCCATTTGGTATTGACATTGAAAGCATGGAGACCAAAATCCAGTTGGTTGTGATCTATGGCCAAAAGTGCACAGAGAAAAAGCTAGAATTAATGAAATACATTTCTGATTGTCCCTATAAAACTGAATGGTGGAGATCAGTAGGCCTTGAATCAGGAATAAAAGAATTTGGGATAGACCTTCTGACAATACTGAAGATAGGAAACTCACTTCAATTTGGTTCCACACATTTTGTGGATAATTCCAAGCATACAATTCCAACACAAGAAGCCTTTTCCACCATATTAGAAATCTTGGTAACAAATAGAAATCTTCCATGGATTGAATCTCCAGAACGGGCTTGGCTATACAGATTTTGTGGAAGCTTGTACCAGGACAGATTGAGGGAACTCAGCCATCTAGTATTTTCAAAAGAAGTGAAAATATCAACTGAGAGGAAAACTATGAGTGGATTTGAGTTGATATGGTGTGATCTTGGCCTCAATTTAGAGCATATGCCAAATGTCTTTGATCATGGCAAGCCTTGCAACATTCAAGAAGAAATGAAGAGGTATGGGAAGATGTATGGAAGCTTTTCAGAATATTCAAAGATAGCAATTTCAATTTGGGTGAGGTCAATCTCTTCTCAACCACAAATATCCTTAAGAAGTGGAAAAAAATCTCAAGAGCTCCCATTATTGGAAGATATAGATATCAAAAATAGAAATGAGGAGTTTTATCCAACAGGACTGAATTTGACCAAATTTCTCAAGGACCTTCTTAACCCACCCACAGAAAATTAATTTATGAGGGTTTGTATGCAGTACCCCAGAAAGGTTGAGTGGTACATTATATATATTACAAGAAAGGATTTCAACAGCCAACATCCATTCAAGTACCTTGGTACTAGTTACACCTGACCTTGCCATGGATATTGAAACTCAACCTGAATAATCTTTTGTGCAGAGAAACTTCCAAAGTCCCACTAACATCACCATAAGCATTATTCAAAAAATAGCCATTAAAACACTATAAAATCACAAGCTTTGCATATTTTACCTGTCTTTTAGCAATATTTTCTGTCTTTTAAATGTTTGGATATGAGGTTTTATCTTCTGTTGGGTTCTTAGAGAGTGCTTGAGTTTCTTGTTACAGTGAACACTGTATTGAAATTATACTCTGGTTTATAATGGGTGTGCACAGTGAGGTGTTTGTGTCATTGAAACAGGGTTGCTTTGTGCACAGAGACTTTTCCATGGTGCAAGAGTTTGATTTGGATGTGATAACTCTAAGGCCCTGTTTGTTAGCACAATGTAGCAGCTCATGTAATGTGTGATGCCCACAAGATTTGCCAAAATTTGAGAGCAGATTTCACACACATTACCCTTGCACACAATGCTGACAAACACAGCCTAAGTCTTTCCAACAGTATCACAAGCCATAGCAACCACAGCTCTGCCCTTGCTCCAAGCCACCTGTTTTTGGGTCCTTGGTTGAGTGATTGCAAGCACCAGCCCCAAAACAAAGGCAATGTGTGCACATTGCCTTTGTTTTGGGGCCAGTGAAGGAGTTTTGTCAATTATAAACTTGAGCCACTCTTTATAATTTTAGAAAGTTTTTTTTTCATCTTTCATAGTAACTAAACTCAATCTCCTCACAAAATTAACAAAAAAAGGCCAGTAACTTTCAAACCAATTTCAAGGGTACGATCTTACAAATGCTTTTTTTTTCAAACATGGGATCCAGGAAGTTTGCCTTTACCAGTCCACTCATAGGTCTTAATTGGTGTCTGGAAGAAGTATGTTACAGTACAACCTGGACTTGTTCTCTTTAAGGACTTGAATGATTGCTTTTTTTACATGAGATGAGCATTATAAACATGAACACAATAGTCCAGAGAAAAGAAAAGAGTAAATCGAAACTGGTTGAAAAAAAAATGCATATTCAACAATCCACATCATCCCATTTCAACTAGCCCATCCTGGATGGTTTGAAATGAATTGATTAATGTCAAATTTCAATGCATGGGTTTTTTTTGGAGAATCACAGTTATGAATCAGTTTCAATTCTTGAATCTAATCTGTGGTGAATCTGTTGGGTGAATAAATTAGTTACTTGGAATAACTTACTTTCTTGCGAGGTCATCTGGTGGGCGTTTAGTTTGAGCGAAAGTCAAGATTCTATTTATTTGAGCACAACAAGGGAAGATGAAAGAGCGAACATGAGCATTAGAGTCAACGAGAAAAAAGCAAGGGATGAGAAAGAAGAAGAAGAAAAAAGAGCCAACCTTTTCAAGCTTTGGATGTATTTCCGACTAACTTCATCGTTCAAGACATGAGCGACGTTATTACTGAAGATCTTTTCCCGACCACTACGTTCGTGGATGCCCACCATGGTCACTCCGATCGGCCAGGGAGCATTTCCAATCGACAGTCTCAGATAAGCGTCGTTGGCTCGGATGTATTCCCGGGTTTGCATGTGATGGACTATCTCTGCCACGGCTTGTAACACATCAGGCGCGAGTTCCTGGGTTTGTTTTAAAACAAGACGGTCAGGTATGACACTCTGATAGACTGATATTAGCTTATCACTCAACGTAAGACTACTCACCCTTTTCCTCAGAGATTTGAATAGTGGCTTCAGATATTCTGCTGATTGTTTCTGAGTGGCTGCGACTAGTTTTCCTTGGGCACTGCGACGTATGTGATCTGTTTTTTTGCGTTGGAAAAAAAATGAAAGGAGAAAATTGGGCAATTCAAAATGATAAATAGACTGAGAAGGACTGCATAAGCCGAGATAGATAAGTCTTGATTTGACAATTTGAGATCCGACTTACCTGGGCGTTCAGCCATTGATTGTTCCCATTCTTTCAAGACGCGCTAAAAGAATTCAGAAATATCACATGATATTTAGCATCACACTTGTTTTGCGTGAAACAGAGTAATATCGGAGTTGAACTCATGGTTACCTTAAGGGCGAAATAAATTTGAGGGTAGATTTTACGTGGCTCGGTTTTGATTAAATTAAGATCTACGGTGACCTCGCCATCCTGAGTTGCAGCTAAGTCGCCATCGGAGTCGTTACCCGAGCCTTCAAGGTCACCACCAGCCCCACCCAGACCGGCGGATTTAGAATGATTGGTCTTCGAAGAATCTTTGGTGTGTTTAGGTAACACTTCCAAGTCCATCTTTCCCTCGACACCTTCCAAGGCTTGCATCAATTCGTTCCGCCCGCCTTCCGTCCTCTCTTCGATCAACTGAAGCGCTCTCAACCGCAGTCTACGTTCCTTGTCGCTCTCCCCAAATAGTCGGATCGGCTGTCCCTTGTTCCGCAATCTTCGTACCGCTTCTTCGTTCGAGATGTTGAACAGTTCTGGTTGGTTTTCGTTTTCTGCTTCGGTTTGTGGGTTCGGTGTCGCACTACCACTGTTGGCTTGTTTCGAATTGAGTGAATCTTTCTTGAGACTGTCTGTCATTTTCTTTTGCTTTAATTCATCGGATGCAAGCTTCTCAGCTTCGAGCTTCTTTTTCTTCTCCTCGAGTTGTCGTTCTGCTTCTAGTTTAGCTAAGTCACCCTTGCGCATGTATTTCTTCTTCGTCGGTTGTTGTCCCTCTGTGTTCTCTGGGTTATTACTACTTTTTCTCTTGAGTTCGATTTCTGCTTTGAGTGTATCCATTTTGAGGATGGCCCTGGTTTCTGATTATCGGGTGTGGTAGGTGATTGTAGTTTGGAATAAAGGTGGTTTGATGTGAGGTGGAAGGTTCCAGGCTGAGGTTCTGAGTGAGGGTGTTCGTGTTGAGGGCTGTTGACCACGAGAGAATTCATCGTCGGCTTACATAATCCAGCGGATCAACTTGAAGGGGGGGCTACTTCGGAGAAGGTGTGCGGATTGGAGCGCAAATGCGCAGTCGAGGTCACAGGCCGGCCATGACCCGCAACTGATCCCATCTCTCATCCTGGCTGGCAAAAATCAGTTTGCAGCAAACTTAACCCAACAACCGGCTGACTACAAAATATTTTGTATCAGTCAATTGATCCTCTTCCAGGAGGGACTACCAAAGTAGGAGTAACAGCTGAAAGCATGGCAAAAAATGCTGGAAGTTTCATTCTCCTGACAATCAGAAGGAGGCATTTCAGGCCAGTTTACAATACTCAGCCATCAGAACCTAGGCCTTGTTTGGCCGTCCATGATTGTAATAGACCAGGACCCAGGAAACCGCCTAAAAATGTCAGTAACGTATATCCCTGGATTTTTGGTAAATTCATACATCGGGGGGCACCGGGGACTGGCATTTTCAGGGCCATTCATACACATTTTGTGCGTATGCTTGAGGAAGAATCCCCCCGAAAAAGCGGGGACTAGACATTTTGGCGGGTTTTGCTCAACATTGAGGCAATTTTCATACATTTCAACTGTGTTTCGTGTGTAACATTTTTGCCGGCCAAACCGATTCATACCACTTTTGTGCGTATGATTTGGCTTTTTTTTGAAAACATCCATATATTTACGTTACTGACATACTTCAGGGGTTTCCTGGGTCCTAATAGACCATCATCTCAAATGAATCTAGGTTTGATGATTCCAGGCTGTGCAAATGACGCAGCCTGAAAATCCTCATCAACCTTGCTGTGAGGACTCATGACGCAAAATTTTGGGGGACCCAAAATGTTGGAATTGGCTGCAGGGAATATATTTCGCTGACCACTTCCGTAATAAAGAAAGTGGATATGACATGGCCTCCCAAACACCATTGTGAGGCCCCGTCTTCAGCTGTTCACCCCCAATATATTTGCCATGATTGTTTATGACAATCATGGATGGCCAAACGAGGCCCTAGTTGTTATGATGTAAGAAGTTTGGGGAAATTCCTGAGATTGCAGTTTTCATAACTTTCATCTTAGCAACGCTGGGCCAGCTACGCTAACCGTAGCGTTAGCGTGGCGTAGCGCAGCGGAAATGTGCTACTTTGTAGCGTAGCGTTAGCGAAAAATCCACCTTTCTGCGCTAACGCTACGCGCAAAGGGCACAAAAGTGTGTTAGCTGTTAGCGTAGTGTTAGCGCAGAAAGTTGGAATTCCGCTAACACTACGCGCTCAGGGCACAAAAAAGTGCCCGCTACGCCGCGCTACAGCGCTTTTTAGCGGGTTTTTTGCCTTTTTTGCCGCTAAAAGCGCTGTAGCGATGCGCTAACACTACCCAGAAACAAGCCGCCTGTTAGCGGGGCTACAGTGTAGCGGCAGTAGCGGCACGCTAACACTACAGAAAAAAAGGCTTGTTTCAGCGCCGCTACACTAACGCTAAGTGGCCCTTTAGCGTAGCGGCCCAGCATTGATCTTAGGGCCAGTACCATGGGATTCAATTTTGAAAAATGGGCAATCTTTCTGCCTTCTGCACAAAACTTGACACAAATTAGAAAGATCTAAAATTGAGAGTCTTCACTTTTGTGCTAATGACTGGCTTCTGGTGATGTTCAATTTTGATGGAATGATAATTTTAGTAAGATAAATTCTCAAAAATTGAATTTTTGTGCCCTATGGTACTGGCCCTTAATAAGATGTCAGATTGCTTATAAGATTGAAGCAAAAGTAGGTCATTTCTTTGTGTATCATCAAACTCTGCGAGGGTTGCTTTTGCAGTTTCTGATTCATTCATCTGATTTGCATACATCTGTATTAAGATGATAGATTTAGGCATAAAATTACCAATATCAGGCAAAAATCAAAAATGGGTTTTAAATAGCATAATTTGATGGCCACAATTATGAATATGTTGGAAATTTTGTTGGAGCTTTGACTTTCCCGCCAAAAAAAAGAAGTTGAGTGGAAAGAAAGAGTATTTTCATTGGAGTTTCTTGTGTGCCTGAGGGTGAAAACCTTTGAAATTAGCAAATTCCATTGAGATTCAGTTGTTTAAATTTGAACTTGCAAAGAAAGGATGTGTCAGGGAACTACACTGTATTACTGGCCAGCACTCAAATGGAAAGGATATTCTGTGAATTTATTTTTGATTCTATTTTGTGATCTACTGCTCACTCTGACTGTTTTTTTTGCTAGATGTATGCAATTGTTTTATTTCATATATACAGTACAATAATGAAGCCGGAAGTTAAGAATACCATGGATGTAGTTACTGAGAATACCTTCTCTGTAAAGATGTTTTTGTGAAGCCCAAAGCTTCATGATCTAGAAAGTCTTCTTTGAGGATAAAAGAGTTTCAACAGATAGCTCCAATTCTATGTTTTGAACAGGCATAGGAAAGAGTTGAACCCGAGACATTACATTCCAATTAGTTATAAAAGAAAGAAAGTATACAATTTTGAAGATTCCTCCTATCTACATAACTTTGAATTTTTGTCACACCATGTTGGGCCTTGGGAAGTTGGGGTGATAGGACATGGGTACTTTCTACTAGAGGGTTGCTTAGCAAGTTCAAATTACAGCCTGTTGCCAGCAGGGACTTGACAAGCTCTGACAAGATTGCAGAGGGCAAAAATTTTGATGAGAGAAACATCTGTTCAGGCTTTGATAATGACAAAGGGACTGATTGTTGACAAATCAAAATCTGAAAGCGATTTCTGATGATAAAGAGCTACCTGATAGCCTTCCGTGGGATCAAGATATCCTAGGACAGTTGAACATAAAAAGATTGAGTCTGTGTAATGAGAGAAGAATAGTTGGAAGAAACATAGAAATAGCATGTATGTAGCAGAAGCAAAAGAATAAGAAAAAGAAGCAATCTTAACTAAGTGGATTTGACTTTGGTAATCTTCTTATGTTTGGATGCGGGATTTTTTTCTTTGGATTTGGAACTGGATTTAAAACCGTTCTCATTGGATTTGGAACAGCTCTCCTCGATTTGAAACCTTCTCTTTTCAAGCTCTTTTCAAGAGTGGGGCCGCACTCCTCGGAATCGGAATAGCACTCTTCGGATTTGGAAGAGCTCTCTTCGGATTCGGAACAGCTCTCTTTGGATTCGGAACCGCTTCCTTCAGATTGGGGACCCCTCTTTTCGGATTTGGAGCTGTGGTCGTCGGATTCGGAGCCGCACTCTTCGGATTCCGAGTGGCGCACTTCGGATTTGGGACCATGTGATTCTGAAGCAGTATCATCTGATTTGAGAAGCTGCAAGTAAAAGTCATCATCTGTGAAACCTACACCCAGTACAGGTTTCACAAGAGGTTCACACATTATTACATAATCATAAATTCTACGGTACTTAGTTCCTTTCTCCCCATTCCCCTCCTAGCTCAGTAGAGACCCACTGACTTCTTACTACTGAGCTAGGTGAGTGATTTCATTTCATAATTCTTTCTTATTATTACTCTTGTTGTTTATTATTATTCTCAGTAGAGACCCACTGACTTCTTAATACTGAGCTAGAAATAAAACACACAGCGGTTCTAGAATTGGTCTCCACAAAGCATTGGCTTTGTTTCTAGAATTTACTCATCCGAC